TCTTCTCAACTTCTTTTCTGATTTCGTCTACCCACCTAACTCTTGGTCTTCCTCGTTTGTTTTTCCCTTACACTCTCGTTTCAAACACTCGTTTTGTTATTCTTCCAGTTATATATTTTGTTATTCTTCCAGTTATATATCTTAGTTGCCCCTCTACTATTTTTTCGTTTATTGGTTTTAGTTTTAGGTTTTGTCTGATTGTTTCGTTTCGTATTTTGTCTGTCCTCTTTCTGTTTGCTATTTTCCTCAGGAACCTCATTTCCATAGCATCGACTCGAGATTAATGTCCATGACTCGCTATTATACATGATTGTAGGTCTAACTACTGATTTAACGACTGCCGTTTTTACCTTCTCTGGTATTTCTTTTTTCCCCGTTGTTTTCATAGTGTTAAATAAGCTTCCTGTTCGTCCCATTCTCTCATTTATTTCCATGTCGTGTTTACCGTTTGATTCAATTATTACTCCTAGGTATTATTTATTTATTTATCGTATGGCAATTACAACATATTTAAAACAAAATTACAAACACTAGTAATATAGGTATTTGACAAACTTTAAATAATTATAAACAAACATCAAATGTATTAACATAATCAATTGACTCTTAAGTTGCAAACAGGAAGTCTTCAGGGCTACCGTTATAGGATCTTGAGGGACACTCTTCAATAATGTGGTCGATCGTTTGGTCCTTCCCACAGTCACATTGGGGAGACAGATTCTTTCCCCATTTATGTAGCATGTATGCACATCTGCCATGTCTGGTTCGGATCCTTTTTAGAGTGGACCATGTTTTACGTGGAAGATCAAAACCTGGAGGCTTGTGGGTAATACAGGGCATGTTATTTTGCCATGCATTCCATTCTTGGGACCATGCATTCGTGATGTTGAACTCCTCATGTATCATTCTTGCCGTTTTCATTGGTGGTTTTCTAGAACGTAGACGGGTATTTCGTGCATCCTCGGTATCTTGGTGGATCGGCAGGTTTATATTGTTCATGATCTTTTTGTATTCACGTGTAAGTGCATCAACTCGTCGTAAATGTGGAGGTGGAATGTGACTTAATACTGGAAGCCATTGGGTGGGAGTTGATTTAATTGTACCAGCTATCATCCTCATAGTGCTGTGCAGCTGAGTGTCGACCTTTTTTACGTGTGGACTGTGTAGCCAAACTGGGGCACAATATTCAGCGGTCGAGAAAACAAGGGCTAAAGCAGTAGAGCGGAGAGTGGAAGCCGATGCTCCCCAGGTGGTACCGCAGACCTTTTGTATAATGTTATTTCTTGTACTCAACTTTTGGGCAGATTTTGTTAAATGCTCTTTAAATGATAGCGTTCTGTCTAGTGTTACGTCCAGGTACTTCGGTGTTTTGTTATGAGAAAGTGTGGTATTTTCAAAGCGTATGTCCTTTCCAGCAAGTTTATTGTTCAGGTGAAAGCAACTTACTTCTGTTTTGGATGCATTTGGTTGAAGCCGCCACTTGCGAAAATATTTGCTCAATATATATAAGTCCGCCGTCAGAACTTCTTCAGATGTTTCTAGTGTTCTGCATCGTGTAGTGAGGGCCCAGTCATCGGCGTATCCGAACTTTCTTGATTGTGTTTCTGGCATATCTGCTAAATATAAGCTAAATAGTAATGGAGAGAGCACTGACCCCTGTGGTAGGCCATTCTTAAGTTTCTTTGGTGGGCTGATATCTGTGCCCATCACTACTTGAAACATTCGGTCGTTAAGCATGCTATCTATTAAACGTGCTATTTGTTTACAGGGAATTGCACGGAGAATTTTGTATATAAGGCCCTCTCTCCATACTGTATCGTACGCTGCCGAGAGATCAATAAATGCCGCTGAAGTTTTAAGTCTTCTTTGGAAACCCGCTTCGATGTAGGTGGTGAGTGACATGACCTGGTCCGCGCAGCTTCGTTCTGGTCGAAAACCCGCTTGTTCGACTGGGATCACCTGGAACAGTTCTGTACTGATTCTATTATATATAAGCCTCTCTAATAGTTTGTAGATAGTAGAGAGAAGCGCAATTGGTCTGTAGTTTTTTGGGTTGTCAGCGGATTTGCCTGGCTTTGGTATGGCTATTATCTTAGAGCGCTTTAGTTCTTGTGGGATATTTCCAGTTTCCATGATGTCCATGATGTGTGTGCTTTATCCTTTGGTGCTCTGGATGTTTTCACTATATGTGATGCTATGGCATCTGGCTTTACGGCTGCCTCTTGGCGTTTCTTACGGACACCACTCCCTAATTTTGTTAGTAATGACCATGCCTGTCTGCTTGATTTCTGGAAGTTTAGACTTTCTACTGTTTCGGTCCACTTTTGTCTTCTAGCGGCGTCTAGGCTGTACAGTAGTTCATCCGCTATTTCTTGGTCGCCAGTTTCAAGAAAGCTCTGATATAATTCCTCGCTATTTTCCGACCAGCCAGGAACATATTCTTTGCGATATCCTCTCGGTATGTGTTTTTTGGCTTCACTTAGCACGGCACCAACAAATCTGTGGTAGTTTTTGATATTCGGTGTAATCCATCCTAGACATTTATCTAGATCCACAGAGAAGTCAGTCCAGTTGGCCTTTTTAAAATTCCATCTTGGACGTGGGATAGAACCAATTAAAGGGATTTGCGTCCCTACTTCTATTATTACTGGTCGATGTTGGCTGTGTGGGAAATCAGTTAGAACTCTTCGTGAAGCCCCTAAAGGTAAGTCTTTGTTGTCGGTCGAGACGAAGCATAGGTAGGGGTTGTATTTCCGCCTCCATGCCGCAGATCTGAAAGTTGGTCGATCTTTGGCATCAAACAAAAGGTATAGGCGTTCGTCTTCTGCCCATTTTATTAAAGCATTCCCATTTGCATCACTATTTGTGTACTTCCACTGTTCATGATGGCTATTGTAATCTCCAACATATACAGCAGGGTGAGGCTGTACTGGAATTGTTTGGACTGGCCAGTGAGTAGCAGGTGGCTTGTAAATGTTGGACACGGTAATGCTAGCGATTTTTGTGACCACATTATAAATACAGTCATCAGTGGAAGTAGAAATTAGCGAGGCATTTTCAATATCTTCTTTGACATATGTAGCTGTGCCATATGTTCGGTGGTAAGTTGCGCCTAATAGTTCATATCCCGGAATTTTGCCCCTTTTTTGTAGTTGCTCCTCTGTTTCGCAGTGGGTTTCCTGTATAGCAACTAAGTCAATGTTGTCATCTTTTAATAGTTTTGATAAAAACTGGCTTTTTGCATAGCTTATGCCTTCTATGTTTATGTGGCAAATTCGAACTATAGGTCCGATTGGTCTAGTTGTGCGGTCCTCACAAGGGCCGTTTATTTTGTTTATTATTTTCCTAGGTATTTAAAATGTTTCACTTGTTCAAGTTGTTTTCCGTTTAGTTGTATTGCGTGTGTCTTTCTCTTATTTGAAATTATCATTGTTTTGTTTTCTCTGTATTTATCTTCATGTTTATGTTTGACAGTTTTTCTTCTAGGATTTCAAGGTTGTTCTGTAGGTTTTCTCTGTTTTCTGCTATCAAAACCATGTCGTCTGCAAATAGCAGCTATGATAGTTGAGTCTGTTTCATTTGCCAGTATCCTAATGTTAGTTTTCTCATTCTTCTCTTGGCTTTCTTTATTACTTCATCCAGTACCACTGAGAACAGCAGTGGGCTCAACACGCATCCCTGCGTTATTATTATTTTACATATCCTTTATTACATCAATTTTTATCCTGTCAACTCCTCTTTGCTTTAATGTCCTCCATACGTCCTTTCTTCGGATTATGTCAAACGCCTTTTCCAGATCAATAAAGCATATATATATTTCTCTATTTTAATTGATTACTTTCTCACTTAATTGTCTTATTGTGAATATGTGGCCTTGTGTGCTTCTGTCCTTCCTGAATTTACATTGTGTATCTTCCATAATTGGTTCTATTTGGGTTTTTATTCTTGTTTCTATTATTCTTGCGAATACCTTCCCAGGGATACTTGATATAGTAATACCTCCGTAATTATTACAGTTTTTCTTGTCGCCCTTTTTCCTTGCCTGGTGCTTTGCCTAATTTAACTCTTTCAATTGCCTTTTCTAGTTTCTCTGTTGTTATGAGTTCTACTTTTTGTTCTTCATTTATTTCTTGTATCTCCACTATGTTGTCTACGTCTGTATGAGTTATCTCTTTGAAATGTTCTCTCCATCTTTCCATTATTTGGTTTTCTTCTGTTATTACCTTTCCATTCTTGTCTTTTATATTCGGCATCCTGTGTTCTTTTTTTTTTGTCTGAGCCGTTTTAATGCGCCATAGAAGAGTTTTCGATTTTTCCTATAATTATTTGTCATTTTTAGTCCAAACTTTTCCCATGACCTTTCTTTTTCTGCTTTCACAGCTATTTTAACCTCTTTTCTTTTTTTCTTTATATGCTTTATAATCATGAGGGCGCTTTATACTTAGATATCTCTTCCATTTTTCTTTTTTGTTCTTTATTTTCCTTCGTATTTCGTCCGTTCACCATTCAGTTCTCCTCATGCTAGTATTTGCTATTTTTGTCTTCCTGCAAGTTTCCTCAGCAGCTATGATTAATTTGGTTAAGAGTTTTTTTGTCGACATTTAAAATTTGATAATTCATAATTTTGGTTTTATATTGGTCCACTATTTCAAATGCGGTTCAAACAGACATATATTAAATTGTATGCTCCGTTGTAAATTCGTTCAATCTGTATATGAGTTAGTTGAGTTGATAAGATAGTACCTACCGAACTGTAAAGTTATAAATAAATATATTTATATAAATTCGAACCGCTCGTTTTATTTAAAAACATTACAATATGTAATTTTGTTTAATTTAAACTATTTGTAATTCTCACAATAACTACTACAAGAAAAATCGAGATTGGTTTACTAACAAACGATGTATTGATATAATACTTATAGAGTTATTAATTTATCAATATTACAATAACTACTTCCTACTTTTGCATTAAATTTTATATATCTATTTAATTTTAGTAACAAAATGTCTTTAAAATCAAGGAGTTATGAGACCATTCCAGCTAGTGATGAAGCATACGATGCTGCAAATTTTTCAAATAAAAAGTTTATGCCAAATAAAGGTAATGTATTAAATTTATTAAGTCAATAAATAATATTAATGTTTAAATATCTCACTGAACATCTGCAAAGACTGCAAAAGTTTCTGCAACACATTCCGTGCGTAATTTAGTTGCCAAATTAAACTTGAAGAAATCTATTATTAAAAAATAAATCTTCTTCTTCTCTTTATGGTGCCATCTGAAGTTAGCAATTATTAAAGCTATTCTTATCTTTAACACTACCGCTCTGAATAGCTTAAAGAAGGTGCAGCCAAACCATTGACGGATGTTCTTTAGCTATGAGATTCTTCGTCTTCTTCGTCATCTCTTCCCTTCTATTTTACCCTATATGATCAGCTGAAGTAGCGTCTATCTTTTGTCAGATGCCTTTGATCGGTCCAAAAAGAGACCCAAAGCCATATGACAAATCTCAGTACATTTTAAAATATCCCAGACAAATTGAAAAATCGCAGTCTGAGTTGATTTTATCTGTTGATAATCATGCTGATTTGCACTAATAATATGACATTTTGTTAAAAATTCTGTTATCCGCCTATACATAGTCATTTCTAAGATTTTTGAAAAGGAACATAGAAGGCTAATTGGTCTATAGTTATTAATTAATTTAATATCACCCTTTTTGTAAACAGGTTATGGCAGTTTTCAGGCATTCAGGAAATACACCAGATTTTAATGAATTATTAATGATTGTAGTGAGAGGATTCACTATCTCCTTTATACAAAGTTTAAGGATTTTAGTGGGTATTTCATCAATTTCACAACTCATTTTGTTTTTTAAATTTAAAAGTACCGTTTTAACGAATACTTTATTCCATGTTAACATTACTTTAATTTCTTTACACACTTGTACTTTTTCAGGTCCATATATTGGCAAACGGCATTGGTTAATTCTAGTATTAGCACTTCTCTCAGAAACCATATACTCAGTTAAAGTATATATGACAGTATGTATTGTAGCTATGACAGATCCCAATGCTAGCAGTAATAAAGATGTACCAGTAAGTAACATATCTACAATCTTAATTATGAGAAAAATTTGACAACATATTAACCTTCGGCAGATAACATGAAAAAATTTAAAATTGTTGATAACGTCGGTCTAACAAAGCGACCTTTTTTAAAATTAAAGAAAAAAACAAATTTAGCTGTAGGTGAAAAATGTAATAATATAATTGTGTACCTTATTGTCTATACAAATATATGAAATTTATAATAAAATTTTATTGTTTTGATAATTTTAAGGGGATATTAAAAAAAGTGTCATTTTTATGAACAGGCTTTTAATAAAATCAAAATAATTATAACAAATAAAAAATTCTGGTTTCACTAAAACCTAAAACACTGATGTGTATGTATATACACTTAGTGTATGTTAATAGATAAGGAAATAAAATTTCATTCTCGAAATCCATACAGATTACTGAAACTATTATTCCAAATTTTGAACATCAAAATTATCATAACAATGCTTACATAATCTCGTCAGATCTTCTAGACACAAATGTTTTTTACATTTTCGAGAATATTTTGTTCTTCGACTTTGATTCTGGGTTTGAACTGATTAGTTTGATTCTGGGAAGCAGCATTCTCAGTTTCTATTCCATATATTTCAGAAATACGCAAACGGATTATCCTGGGAACAATTTGCTGTTGTGCTTATCGACGAATATGTAGGTTATTGAAATCTTAATTTTTTTAAAAATTTTCTTCCATCGATTTTTGTTTTAATCAAAAAAGAAGTTTCTCGATCCAAAAAAGGAACCATCTGGCAAAATGACACAGTTTGAAAGTTCAGACTCAGAAAGTTATGATTCTGCAGATCTAGTCCAAGATGACGGTATGTCAATAAAATAATGGGATGAAGATGAATGTGTGGAATGTGGAGAGGCTTACCATGAAGCTACAAAAAAAGAAGACTAGGTGAAGAGTGTACAGTGTTTTCGGTAGTTTCATTAAGGTTGCTCTAGATTTGAAGTAAAATGTGACTTTTGCGGTACCAGGGAAATAATATTGTTCTGAAATTATTTTCTTGTGACATTATTTCCCTAATTACTATGTAAATAGGAATAAGCCACAATTCAAGGTTAAAGTACGTTTATTGACGTTTCAATTTCCACTTCGGAAATCGTTCTCAAAATACAAACATTAGGAAATTAAAACGTCATTAAACGTACTTTAACCTTTTATTGTGACTTATTAATATTTAAATAGTAATTAGGGAAATAATGTCACAAAAAGGGAAGTTTCCCATTAATAGGAAAATTGTAGCCAAGAGAGCAAAAGAATAGACTTGTTTGTTTTTTTTATTTGGTTATTGTAACATTTATTATTATGTAAAATATACATATTTTTTACTTTATGCTAGGTTTGTAGTCATTGATCCTACTTCTTACCCCTAGTCCATCTCTCCCAAGCTACAGGTCCATCTCACCCAGACACGTCCGGGTGAGATGGACCATGCAAAGTTTTGAAAAAAATGCAATGTAGCCTTTATTTATAATATTCAATTAGAAAGTAAACTGTTAAGGGTATTAAACTAAATTCTTTACCAAACGCTTAAATAATAATGTTAATAAGTTGACAAATAAATTTTAGTGAGCATCCAAAGAAATGTGATCCAACTCTCCGGGATTTACCCTATACAGAGATGTACAATTAGTTTAACGGTTTATACCTTTTCACTCCTTTCTCTTTTTTTGTGTTTTTGTGTTAAGTTTATTAATGTAGTGTGTGTGTGTGTGTGTAGAGTAATTGTCTTAATACTTAGCAAAGTCGACGTCATTGTCTTTGCTAAGAGACGCTTATTGTATCCGAACGTCTGCGGTCCCTCCGGTGAGTACCGATCACACAAGGATAGAAATTATTTTCATTTATTAATATTTTTTAATAAACAAAAATTCCTCCACCCAGGTGAGATTCGAACTCACGACCTTTAGGTTTAAAGGTAGGCGCTCTTACCACTAAGCCACAGAGGGGGTCACTCCTTCCTCGGTTTTTTACGTTTTAAATGTATGGAATATAATTTGTTTTATTGTTGGAACTCTTTTTTTTTAACATGTACTTGCGTCGTAAAACAAAATGTAAATACATTAAATCTGGTTAGACATACTATTCATGTGAAACAATAGCAATATCAATAAAAATATCATTTATTACCATTTCAATAAATAAAAATTTTCGTGTTATGAATAATTAAACGGGGGATAAACAGAATGAAAATTAATTGCAATCTGGTTTCTCAGAATATGACCTAAGTCACGTAAATCATCTTTCAAACGTGACCAGTTATGATAATTTTAACTGCCTGTTTACGCAATCTGCCTACCTAGATGTACGATTTTTATGTACAATGTCAAGTAACTACGAGAAATGTTAACCCAAGTGTATAGTCCAGTCGTCCGAGATTTGACCTCTAAAAATTGTACGAACAAGCTGAATTTTGCTAAGGATGTTAATTTTGTGACCCCAAAAAGATGTAAAAACACCCCCTTTTTGGAAAAGAAACGAAAAAAATTGATTTATCAAGAATATGTTGTAGTACATTTAACTAACGTTCTTCTTGGTAATTCATCATCATTTTGGCTTTACAACCCTGTGTCAGTCCTAGCCTCCCCAAGAATTCTCTTCCAGTCGTCCCTATCCATCGCCTTCCTCCGTCAAGCACGTATTTCCATATTTCTCATATCTTGGTCTATGTTATCTAGGAATCTTTTTCTGGGTCTTCCTCTTCTTCTTTGACCAATTGGTCTATCAAGGAGCGTTTTTCTAGCTGGGTCAGTTTGCTCCATCCGCATTACATGGCCTACCCACCTCAGACGTCCTATCTTAATGTGTTTTACGATATCTGGTTCCTAGTATATTCTATAGAGTTCGAAGTTGTATCGCCTTCTCCAAACACCATTTTCATTTACCGCCCCATAGATTCGCCTTAGTATTTTTCTTTCGAAACATCCTAACATGTTTTCATTGCTTTTTGTTAAATTCCAGGTTTCTGAACCATATATTAGGACTGGGCGTATTATTGTTTTAAAATCCACAAGGAAAAATTCCTGTAGCTGGCTGTATACCACGTATAACAAAAAGAGGTTAATCTTTGTAAATGGGTATATTTATTTAAAAAAAAAACCCTTAAAAGGGCCACATCAATAAAACAAACGTTTTCGGACTACACAGTCCATCATCAGGTTATTAAAATCGAAAATGCCTAAAAATAAGTATAAACCATTTAGTTAAAACAAACGAGATTTTGAAATTTTGACTATGGTTGAAAAGCAAAAGATGGTTATACTTACTAGGTCATAATGCCTGAGCCACCAAAATATTAGGGTAAAAACCCTTTAAATTACATTTAATTATGAAATGTTGTACATTGTGTTATAAAATAACTGTGATGTTCTATATTAAATTAAATTTGACTAAAGGTAACACATGGCTCAATTGGGTTCCAGAGCCGGGTGAGAGGGAACCTCTGCACTCGGAGAACAACGTGGAACTGATTGACAAGATACTGTTGAAGGATGAAGATAACAGAATGTCAATGCAACAAAAACTATAAAAGTTGTACATAGTATTACTACAGCCAAAAGATTCAACAATTTCTGATGATTTTAAAAAATAACAACAATCTAGGTGTTGGGATTTAAAAACTTTTTATTTATTAATTTAGGGTATAAAAGATGTCAAATCAATGATGGTTTTATAGTCATGATTAATATAATGACCTGTGCCTTAGGCAACTTATGTTGCTTTTCGTCGTATGGAATGTGGTCTAAAGTGTATTTAATTTTGGGTTAGCTTGTATTTATGAAATTTATCCTTTTATGTTTAACACATCTAGGACAAGGTAAAAATTAAATAACAAATATTTGAAGCTAATATCAGACCTCATGTTTAAATGACTTTATTTAAGAATGCTCCTATGGTGAAAAATTAATAAAATTAAGTTTAGTAAGATGGAAATCTACAGGCTGAAGAAGTTGAAGTAGTAACATATGTGATTGAATTTAAAATTGAAGAGACTGGGTTCCTCAGAGACTAATGAGAATGAAAGTAAAAGAAATGACCGAAGAAAAGGAGGGGGGGTTGAAGGAGAAAAGGAGTTGATCAACAATTAGAGATAATAGGGGTCCTTTATACTTAAAGTATCTAGCACCCTGAACAAAATCTATTTAGGTGGTATTAAATTCTACAAACAAACAGTTTCTACAAACTGAATTTAATTGATTGTGTTTGCCTTGAACTCTTTTCTGTTGATGTTAACTTTCTTATAGAATGTTCTGAATTCTTTCTCTCTGTTGACGTTTTCTATATATTGAAGTTCCCTTTTTAAGTGGTTTCGTTTCTTCATTCTATCTATTTTCTTTTCTTCTCTTCTCTTTTTCTGGTAATTATTAATTATCTCATATTTGCATTCATCGTCAAACCAGTGATTTTTCGGGTACAAGTTTCTGTTTCTATTTTATCTTGTGCTGCTGACTCAATAACTTCCTTTATCCTGTTTCAGTAGGAGTCTATATCTCTCTGGTCTTCTTCGCTTGGACTTTGATTTCTTAACCTATTCGTAATATTTTCCCAGTACTATTTTGCAACAGTTGGATCTCTCTGCTTTTGTACATTCCAGTGCTTTCTATCTATTTTTTTTTGTTTGTTGGATTTGAAATTCTAGCCCCTAGTGTTGAGATCACTAAACAGTAGTCTGAGTCTATGTTTGCGCCTCTATAACTTCTGCAGTTTATTATGTCCATTCCGTGTCTTAAATCTATTAAGATGTGATCAATCTGACTAGTTGTTCTTCCATCACGGGAGGTCCAGATTATCTTGTGTATATTCTTGTGTTCAAAATAGGTGCTAGCGACGTTCATGTTTAGTGCTGATACTAAGTTTATCAGTCGTAATCCATTATCGCTACTGATGTTGTGTAGGCTATGTCTTCCTATAGTAGGTATAAAAACTCGCTCTCGTCCTATTTTTGCATTCTTGTCACCTAGCACTGTCTTGATGTCATTTCTGGGGCATCTTCTATAGGCTTGTTCTAGGTCTTCGAAAAACTGTTCTTTAATGTCTTTAAGATAATGTAATTATTTTAAATATAATATATTTATTATATAATTGCTATAATTGCCTTAGTATTCGGTGCGTTTTGGTTTGGTTTAAGTCTTCTTACAAACTCCCTCTGATAACGGGTAGAAAGAAACACGTGTAAGAGAATGGTAAGAGACTCAAATTAAATCGAAAAGCAACCGTCATTTAAATCGAAACGAAACCGTCATTTATTCTTCTTGTTCTCCTTCTTGTATGTAACCTTTAAAGCATGTATCATCTTCAATATTACCCGCCTAAATTGTTTAAATTGTCGAAAAACTAATCATTTTTGTTCAAAATATCTGGGGTTTTAAGAAGAAGCCCAGGAATAGGAGTGACAAACGTTTTTGCACCTTTTATCGGGTACCAAAATTGACAACCACAGCATAAGTCCGCTTTTTCGTCTCTGACGACTGGAGTAATACAACAAATTAAATATTACCTTTTCAATGTGTGAGGCGTAATATTATAATGTTTTTTTCTCATGTTTAAAAATAATTCGATTTTAAGTGCAAACAATTGTATAAATTATAAATACAGTCCTCTCTCTATAACGATCTGCAGGGGACCGAGAATTTTCATCGTTATAAGGAGAGATCGTTATACAGAGAGAGACAAAATTCGGTACTATAATATTAATATTACTGTACTAAATAACCTACATATTTTAATTTAAAAAATTTGTCAAAACAAATATAAATGAATTAACACTGTATTATACACTACAGATTTATTAAAGAATACTATAATCAATGCAGTATAAAAATTGACTGTACAATTAAAACATGTGTACTGTGCAATAAAAAAATAATATGCTACTGTAAAATATATTTAGCCTTCATTACCAAAAAAGTCGGTCTCCTTGGTCTGTTTTCTTTTCCTTTTCCACAGAACTGACCTGAACCTGTCCTGAAGATTCATAGAATCTTCCACAGTACTCATATCGTCTTCCTGATAAATGAAGAATCGATGCAATACTTTTGCCGCATCCAATGCCTACTGAGGGGTCGGAGCTGGCTCTGGCTCTGCTTCCACTTCTGGGTTACTGTTTTCTTCTTCTTCTACACGAACTGCTTGTAGGATGTCCTCGTCAGAAATTACAGATGTTGTAGCCACATTTTGTTGTATGTTGTTGTTACGTTGTGTTTGCTGGCAGAAAACAAAGTTCAATATTTTGAAGGTCGCACAGTATAGGATATGCAGGACAATTATCTACAAACAGAAGAATTTTTTTCCCGTTAAGCTCAATATCCCACTTTCTTATCGCGTCATCCACGCAATCTTGTTTGCTTTATGGGTCACCGGTAGATTTTTTACGTTTTTAAAGCAACGTGAGTTTTCGACTTCCCTATCACTAACAATTGTCGCTTCACCGAACTTGTCGTGTTAGCGGCCACTAAAACTATAATAAGTTCCTTAGAGAGCTTTCCACCAACGCACTTTTCCGATTTAAATTTTAAAGTTTTGTTTGGTGTCATTTTAAAAAACAATCCAGTGTCATCAGCAATAAAAATGTCGTCTGAGGCATGTCGTGCCTTCAGTCCAGGCCACACGTTTTCTAGCCAATCATCCGTTACGTTTTTGTTCATCGTGCGAGCCTCTCTGCTGATTTGCCCATAGTTGATCTTGTGCTGCAGCTTTTACTTTTTTAGCCAACCCTCAGATGCCAGTTCTCAACTCCAAGCTCACTTGCAAAAAACTTAGCTTTTGTCTTGACCACAGGCCCATCTAAATCTTTGTGCTGAGGTTTCCGCAACTTCTTCTGCCTTCTTCTTCTTTTTCCAAAAACTTAACAATCGCTGGACAATGACCTTGCCACTTGTGACTTAGGTAGTCTGAACCTAAAGACAATAACACATTTGTCATCAACTACTAAACACTGAAAAGTCATCGCTATAAAGAGAGAGCAATATCGGTATAGAGAAAGAATTAATACATTGTCCTTATGACGAACCAATAAACGTTTACTATTTTCATCGTTATAGAGGAATTATCGTTATATAGGGAATCTTGATAAAGGGAGACTACTGTAAATACCTTAAGTCAATTTTAAATAATTTACCAGCTGTTCAAGTTTGGTAAAACCTTTCACATGACCAATCAGATGGTATTCTACTCCTTTTTTCTGGTTTGACTTTAATTATTTCTATTTAATCTCTGCTTTTGTTTGTAATTGTTATCTTACGAAATGTTACTCATCAATTCAAGATATTTCAGATATTCCAGATAAGATATTTAGTTACAGATATTTTCTTTTGAATGTCAGATACACAAGTTCGATTCGGTTTTATATGACACTTTTCGTGTTCCCTATCTCTCCTTCACCGTTTACTCCAATAATTCCAAATATGCTTCTCCGTACAATTTTTTTTGCTAAAAGTATGACCCAACAATACGATCGCCATAAATTCCTGCCTAAACGTTTAATTTTAGCGGCTGTTGGTATTTCGCTGGTATTTAGAAAACTCTAGGATTTGATCAGCTCTATATAGGCAGTTGTGTGGATTTACGGTACCATTTGATCCGAGAAACAAATATTAAATAGAAGGAAAGTTTGGATTGCAATTTGTATTCTCAGTTATAATCTCACAAAACTTTAACCGCCTGGATTATTTTTATTTATTTTCTGTACCAAATGTATTTTGTGGGGATAAAATTTGTAATGTTTTAGTATAGCGAATAGTTGTGCGCGAAAAATCAGATACTTGTGCTCTTGTTTAGTACAGCAGCTTTCAAATTAACATGAACTAAATTTTTTGCATCTGTTGCTTCAGTCCTAACACTGTTTTCACTTTTTCTTTTTTTTATCTACTGTTATATACCATTTCACGCTTCCTTATACTGATCCCATTTCATGAAATTTTTTAAATGGTTTTAATCATGGACGTATTTTAATACTAAAACTAATAGTGACCCAAATGGCTATTGCAAAGTAAACTAATTGTAGAAAAGAAAATGATAAAAAAATATCCAGCAGGAGAAATTATAAAAAAAACAGGAGAAACAAAGAAACATGGAATAATCTGAAAGCAGTCGAACAAGTTAACATTGCTCAAAATTTCTTTGCTAAATAATTTAACAATAAAAGTTTAGGAAGGTAATATATGATTGCCAAAAATACAATTTAAATTTTTTAACTTTCAAACTGACCGTAAGAGAAAATGTTGTTTAGTTATATTTACACTTAATCACATTGTTTAAATTTACATTTTTATGTTTTAAGACTTACGATTGGAAAAACAAGGGTATTATCCTATCGGCTTATATGTGGGGACTGGCAATTCCTCAACTATTCGCTGGTTGGCTGTCATCACGTTATAATGTAAAACTAATATTAATATCCATGATGATTACTTGCTCTATTACTGGATTCCTAATACCTGTAGCAGCTGCCAATTTTGGATCTACTGGTGTAATAATTTGCCGATTAATTCAAGGTATGGCACTAGGTACCATTAATCCTTGCCAGTTTAGTCTCTATGGAAAATGGGTACCGCCACATGAACGATGCAGATTAATGGGATTAGTATTTTCAGGTAACTTTCAAAATAACAATTAAAATTAACTACAAAATAACTAATCTCAATAATTTCCTAATAAATTTTGAAAAATTAAAGGCAAATATCGAGCACAATTTTATTAATTAAATCTTGCCCAAGTACTTTCGCTTTCTAGAGCATCATCAGGGGCATTTCGTCAAATTTTGGCTATCCAGCAACCGCAGAATGTAATAAACATGAAATTAAACATAAATTGTATATAACACTACACTAAAACAAGGACACACAGTTTAAAATTATTTAAAATAATGTTTTCTGATCGTTAATACTTCTGATTCGTTTATAGTGGTTGTATGCCTATTGTGTTTGTTGTGTTCTGTATTGTAAAAAGGCTTTCTACTTTTTCGATTTTGCTTATAGCTGGTAATAAGCTTATTGGTAGATAGTTTTGTGGAAATGTGCCATTTTTGCCAGGTTTTTCAATCATTATTACGTGAGCTTCCTTCCATTTGTCAGGATAGTATCTTAATCTTATTTTGTTGTTGATTATATTAACCATGTATACTATTGCCCTTGCTGGCAATTTTTTCAGAGCTCACTTCGTAATGTCGTCGGGTCCTGGAGCTATCTTGGGCTTGGTACACTTGATCAGTTGTCTGACTTCTTCAGAGGATGTGTGAGTACCTATGTTACCCTTCCTTCTTTTTAGATTCCTATATCTTCTTTCTACTTTTTCTGTTAAGTCTAATTTTTCATCCGGATGTTAGTTCTTTAAAAATCCTTCTTCTAGCCTATTTTTCATTGCTTCCGTTTAGTCTGTTTCTGTGAACACTATTCCATTTTCTTCCAATGATGGTCAAATAGGTTTTTTGTCTTTTCTTAGTATTTTTTATAGCTTACAGAACACGGATTTGTTTGGGTCTAGCTACTGTTTTACATATTTGAATACAGTAAAATAGTTAAAATAGTCTGTCTTAAAAATAATTTATATTTTATAAGACTTTTAAAACGTTTAAACATTTTTAGGTTATTTAATCGGGATAATCGTTTCAATGTTTTTGAGCGGACTATTGGCAGCTAGCCGTTTTGGATGGCCCTTAGTAATCTATATTTACAGTAGCATAGGACTTTTGTGGAGTATACTTTTTGCATGTGTCGCTAGTAATAGCCCTGAGGAACATCCTACAATTACCAAAGAAGAAAGGTATTATATTCAGTGGAGTTTATCGCAGAATCATAAGAGGGTATGAAACTAAATTTGGTTATGGTTTTACATATATATTTTTTAATACGATGGCATCAAGAATACAAGACTACACGGGTTGTATATAAAATAGTAATGTAACAGATTTTTGCTTTTAATATTTTTTGATCGCTTATTGTATCGAATGCTTTCTCGTAGTCGATAAATATCAGTGCCAATGGTTTGTTGTATTCTGTAGACTTCTTTATCAGGTCTTTTTTTGATAATTTTTGTAAAAAGTTTATATATGTGTGAAAGCAAACTAATAGGAAGGTAGTTTTTAGATCTGTTATGTCTCCTTGCCTATGTAATAAAATAATGGGAGGTTTTTCCTTCGTAGATGCATTTGGTGAAAAGCTTGGCCAAAGCCTGGATAATTTTATTTCCATTCAGTTTACTCTGTCATCGCTAGAGGATTTGTTATTATTCATTTCTAAAAGTGCCGTTTTAATTTCATATGGAGTTATTACACATTTCGCGATAAAATGATTTGACAAAGATTTTGGTTCTATCGGTAGTAATTTTTCCATTTTTTTTTTGTATATATTTTTGTTGCTTATGTTGTTCGTATTTTGTCTCAAAACTTTTAAACTTTTGTTTTCTTGAATTATTTTAGTTATTTCTTGTATTGTTTTCTCTTACGTTTTTTCGGATTAACCGGTGGATATCTTTATTTAATTTCTTAATTGTTGCATAGTTGGAGCCGTATTTTTCTATTAGCTCTCATTTACCTATTAGCTCTTTGGTATTTTGGCTTTATTCTTATAATGACCAAGCTCAATATCAAAATCATTACTTAAACCAACCCTTGGTAATAATTCCTCCTATCTTTTTTATCCCTACCCGCGAGAAGTTAAGACATTCTTGGACAATGCATATCAAAAATATTTCTATGGCTGTGGTTTTCCGCCTTTCTTAGCTATTGGTCCCGTAAGGAACAGATGTTGTATTTTGCCTCTCTTAATCTAGCATCTTGGTAGAAGATAGATGCTTTTTTCCCTTTCTGAGTGATAACGACTACTTAAACAGAAATTGTGCTATGTATACTGTCATTATATATGACATTTTAATTACCTCTTTAAACCAACCATATCGATATAGTCCTAACAACTGAAATTATTTGATTTTGCATATGTGCATTACCATTAATTGTACACCCATATAAATAAAATGTAGTAAATAGGCAGCACTGTCTTTGCGTATATGGTGAAGACGCCCGTGTTACTTCTTACGAGAAAAGGATTAAAATTGCTTAGGTCCATTCTGGTCATTTTCGAGCTTTTTGTGGTGGGGTTCTATCGGATTGTTTCGTAAGAGGGTTCGTTGGAAAGTTAAGGGGATAACTAATACGGTTTTTGTAAAAAAATCAAACAGCACAATTATCAAAAGGGCACTATATCGTATCTTCGTTGTTATTGGTCCAATTTTGATGTTAGAGGCATCAAATGAAAGTGGATTGGACACCGAGGGTAACAAAGAAGAAATAAACACGCCAGCATTGCCAACGAAACACTATATCATATCTTTGTTGTTATTGGTCCGACTGGAGCATGTTATACGTCAAATGAAAGCGGATTGGATAACAAGAGTAACAAAGAAAATACAAATATTAACGTTTAACACTGTACATTTCTAGACTGTGTAACTTACATATTATTATCATATTTTAGAAGTATTTAACACCATGGAGGAAGATATTGACTTCACCTTGTGTATGGTCTAATATATGTTCAAAAGCTGGTAGCTTTTTTGGATTTGTATTGATCTTAAGTGAAATCTCGAATTATATGAAAAATGTTTTAAAGGTTGATATAAAAGAAGTAAGTACAGTATTTTTGTATGTTTTCAAAGGTAACTCATATTTACTTTGGTATTAGGATATGAAAGAATTGTACAAGTCAACTGTGTTGCTTATGAGAATTAAGTTTAATTAAAAATGAAGTATTTTGTAATTTTTGAAAGTTAAGAAGAATCGATAAAAATAATACTTGAATGAAAGCATATTTTAAAATAATCAGTAGCGCTTTAACTCCCATAGATATTATTTATTTTTCTATGCTGTTTAAATATCTAAGTTTATGTCTTTCTCTGGTTCATCAGGCCATCGACATCGGCACTCTTTTGTCGGAAACCTTTCTGGATAGCATGCCTTCCTTTCAAATGAATAGCTTTCCAAGATAACTTGCTTTCAGTAAATCAATGATTTTAAGCTACGTTTAGATCTGACACTTATTGCATGAAATTGTTTGCAGTACAGTAGGATGTACTGTAGACTAACGCGAAGCTTTATATTATGTTTTCTGTATTTTTAAAATTTAAATATTTAAAAATTGAATAAAATAATTTTATTTTAATCAAATTAAAACGTTTACGTCTTTTATACCGGACTCGCTCGTCGCGTAAATGGAGTCTTCCAACTGGAAGTTTTACGACCCTTTACTGTGACTGCGTACCAACTGCGCTATTTCAACGCTTGCCTCAAAAATATACAACGCCAGTATAATACAAAATGCCTTACAGAAGTCAGTTATGAGTTCTCCATTTGCTTTGAAATACTTACTCTTCATTCAATATTTGTTTTACTCCTGGATCTACTTCATTTCCTACTTGTGCATTAAAGTCGCCCATAAGGATTGTAAATTTGTCATTAGCTATTTCATCAAGGATAATTTGTAATTGTTCGTAGAATTGCTTCTGTTCATATTTAGGTTTGCAATAATCAGGGCTATAGATGGACATGATATTTAATTTTTGTTGATATAAGTATCGTGATTTCCATATGTGCACATCATCATCAATCAGCCAATCGCGTCCACTGCTGGACATAGGCCTCCCTCAGTTCTTTTGAGTGTTCTCTACACTGGGCCGCTTGTAGCCAGTTTCCCGCTACACGTTTTATATCATCGGTCCATATAGTCGGTGGTCGTCCTCGGATTCTTTTATAGTTTCTGGGCCTCCATTTCATCATACGTCTTTTACACCGTCCACCTTGTGTTCTGGCTAAGTGCCCTGCCCAGTTCCACTTAAGCGTCGTGGTTCTTTCGATGACGTTTTGAACTCCTGATCTTTGCCTGATTTGTTGGTTTGTTATGTGGTCTCGAAGGATCACGTTCAGCATTGCACGTTCCATGGCTCGTTGTGTAACTCTGAGTAAACTCAAAACTCCATATGTACTAATCTTTTAAAAATACAACGGTAATTATTTTTGGTGCCTTTATTATAAAGTTTTTATACATAAATATACATATGCTCATGCTTCTTCTTACTTTACACCGCTACCGCTACATGCTAGAATCTATTGATTATAGCAATTTTGGCCTTTACCTTCTTGATTTGTTGGATTGTACAAATATTTATGTTCATATTTATCAATCGTTTTACTCTCTCCTGTTCTTTGTTGTTGAAATAACGTTTTCCTTTTTCCTTGCGTGTTTCGTCATCGTGAGATCCGTCGGATTCCCAAGCTTTGTATCTGTTCTTTGAAACTTGTTTTGTTTTACAATGGATCAGTGGCGGGCGGATATACGAGTGGTGAAAGTAAGGAAATACCCCCCAAGAATATCCAAAATTAAAGAAAATCTATTATTTATGTCTTTTGTGAGCTTGGGTGATCTTTTGGATGGTGTTTTATTGTAAGTTCCCCCAACCAAGTTGGAAGTTCCCCTTCCAAGACAAATGTCCACTGCAATGGATAGGTTGCTATACTGGCTAAATAGATCTGGCCCTTGCACCTTCTTTTTTAATTGAGTAATTTTCCTTAACATTTTTTTATTCAAATTAAAAAGTACCACGGTATTGATAGTAATATAAAATATTTATTAGATTTTATGCCTAATTTTTATTAATATAGATTTAATATGATTTTTTTAGAATGGTATATATAGTGCACTACCATATATTTCTACTTTAGTCACTGTGTACCTGTTTGGATTTATTTCAGACAAAATAACAGCACGAAATATATTCAGTGTAACTACTACACGAAAAGTATTTGTAACAATAGGTAAGTTTTTTTATAGACATTTAGTAAGTTAGTCAAAATAAAGTTACTTTCATAAATAAGAGCCAGCCAGTTTAATTATTCTTTCTTTCTTCTCAGGTTGTATGCATCTATTCCCGAATTTAGGCCTTCTCCAATTCCTTCCAGGTCTTGCTATTGTAGGTCTTTCCAAGTGGTATTGAGATTTAAAATTGTATCCACTATGTACTGCTATTTGGTTAATGATATTTAATTATGTCTCAAAGTTGTATTTTGACATCGGAATTTCTATTAATCTATGTAGCATACTATGATAGACTGCCAGTTTATGTTATGTGAGATGGGATGATGAATTGTTTATAGTCGTGTCAGTATGAGTAGGTTTATGAAATATGGAGAAGTCATGTTTGTATTTAAGTCTAATAAGAGTAAGTCTTAAGTCTATTAAGATAATTTTTAAATCTAAAAAGTTTATGAATTGATTTTGTTCTGTTTCTATTGTAAATTTAATATTACTATGAAGTGAATTAATATACGATAAAAATTGGTCGAGTTACCTGTTAGTTCCTGTGAAACATACCAGTACGTCGTCTACGTATCTCCACCAATATAAAAACTGTTTGAATATGAGATGTTTTGAAATTTTTGTCTCTAAAGGATCCATAAAAATATCTGATAGCAATTGGCTTAGAGGATTGCCCAATATAAGTTCTGCACTGTTATTTGTGTATATTTGATTATTAAATTCAAAGTAGTTCTGGTTTATGCAAACTTCAAAAAGCTCTAAAAGTCCAAATGTAATGATTGGATTTGTACTATTTTGGTCTAAAAGGTTTTTTACTAGAATAAAAGTTTCTGTAGGAGGAATACTAGGAAAAAGATTTTTTACGTCAAATGAATGTAATCTGGAGTTGTTAGGTAATTGAAAATGTTGTATTTGATTTACTAGTTCTATTGTATTTTTTATGGTAAATTTAGGTGAAAATTTAGTGTGTTCTAAAATAATCTCTAAAAGTTTTTTTTTAAGTTTATATGACGGAGCAGTGTAAAAAGAAACTACAGGTCTTATTGGGTGATCCGGTTTGTGTAGTTTAAGGCTGTTTTCGCAGTTATAGCATACTGCGATTTGAAGTGGGCGTATCACTTACTTTTCTACACTGCTATGTCAGACCCTACGTGACCTCCTAATAGTTTGGATGTTTATTCAGTGGCGCCGGCCCACGGGTTGTTTAAAATAAATGCATTATTCTCCATTCAAATTAGTTTTGTCGGAATACTTTTTTTTAGATTAATTATCGTAGATAATGTTTTAAAAAGAATTAATCACATTTTTAATTTATATGTCTTAGCTAAACATAGTATTAAATAAAAATTTGTGAAACGTGACTGCAAAAAACACCATAGTGTTTATTTATAATAAATTTAAATTTTGTTATAATAATATTAATATATAATTAATATTTTGTTAATATTTGTTAGAGAAAACTGGTATTAGCGTAGTAAAAATTAAACAAAAAATATTTTTATTTATCTATAAAAAATTGGTACCTGCGAAACCATCATAATAGTAAATTTATTTATCTGGCAAGTATTTCGAGGCGACGCACTGCGAGGAAAATGTTCTCTGAATGGAATATACATTATTTTAATATATTTATAGGTTGCAGTTACATAAGAAAAGTATCCAATTGATGAATAAAACACAAATCGTGGATAGTTATTTCATCATATCAGTGGTATTACAGCTCGTCATGAGCCAAAGGCTTCTTCAGAACAATCTTCCATTCGCCCCTGCCTCTGGCAACTTTCTCCATGCTTTAACTCCGATGGATTTTAGATCACCCTCTGTGTTATCTTGATACCTAAGTTTTGGTCTTCCTCTGGATCGTCTTCCCACTGGTCCTCTTCGGTCGAAAATTTTTCTGATCGTTTCATCTTCATCTCGCCTAATTACATGTCCTATCCATCAAAGGCGTACTAATAAATTTTACAACGTCAGGTACTACACCTGAAGAAGCATCGTAGTTTACTTTATACGATCTTTTTGACCAAACACCATCAGCTATAACGGTTATTAACCCATTTCCGTCGGAATCTACTTCACCAATTTCTTTGGCTAAAGCTAATTCCTCCCGTCCAGCCTCTTCTAAGGAATCACAAAGTGTTTGGCCGATGATATCTGCAACTGTTTCCGTATGTTTTGCTTACTGCCTGTAGGAAATCACAGGTATATTTAATGCAGCGTGCTGCTGCTGTATGTCTGAATAACCAGAACCATTCAAGTTCAGTGAATTGTTACCAGAATCCTATGTTGCTATCTCCTTTTCAATATTCCACATTTGACATTTAAAAGTCAATGTACTTATCAATCCGTCCATTTTTTCTTTGATAAACTCCATATTAGAAAAGTTGCATGAAAATGGAGAATGATTATTCAAACCTTGAATAGATATATATATATATATATATATATATATATATATATATATATATATATATATATATAAGTTAAATAAAAGCTTTTAAAAACGGTTGTAATATAAATAATAAATACTAAAGCAGTGCAATTGCTCTTTTCCTTGACATAGGACGTTTACTGGGACTCATTTTTTATCTTGTCTCTTATAACTTATATCACTAACCTAATGTAATACTTAAAAATACGCGTAAACTAAAGAACTTTTAACTTATACCACTAAACTAATAATATATTATTTAACATACACGTAAACTAAATAATTTCAATGTTTTCAAAATAAATAAGAATACTGTAAACTGTAAAAACTAAGCAAGTTGATAAAGAAAATACAAGAATGAAAGAACTAAAATGGATTCTAATCCAAGCGAATTAACTGACCGTACCCATAGAGAAATAAAAATAAGACCGTACCGTACGCTCATGAGATTTGACGTCACTAATGCGATAACGATCAAGCTCAGCGACAATGATGAGGAACACGTTTCACTATTAGATTTCAGTATTTTTTAGCAATTTTCTTCAAAGTTTGAATACGCTTTTCTCGATTATTACTGGACATAGAAAGGTGAAAAAAGAATCAACGATTACAGAAAAAAAAACTCTTTCAACTGATGGGCGTGAAAAGTTTGGTTATAATAGAACGTTAAACAGTATAATCCAATTTTTCAACAGAAAATTCAAAAAATAAAAAAAGTAAAACCATCAGTTTAAAGGCAACATAATTTCGTATAACATGTCCAAATTTCGAGACATTTCGTCGGTAAATAACAGAGAAAAAATTTTGGTGCACCGATAAAACAGCCTTAATGAAAGAGTATAATTTTGAAGTTTAAAAACAAAGCTTTCATTGTTTTATTGTTACATAAAATGAATTTTTATGCAAACAGTCTTTCAACTTTAAACTGATGAGAAGATGATACAAATTTTAACTTTCTAGAATATACCAGGAATCAGATATCGTAAAGCATATTAAAATAGGACCTTTGAGGTGGATAGGGCATGTAATGCGGATGGAACAAAATAACCCAGCTAGAAAAATGCTCCTTGATAGACCCATTGGTCTAAGAAGAAGAGGAAGACCAGAACAAGGTTCCTTGATAACTTCGATGAAGACATGAGAAATATGGGAATACGTGCTCGGCGAAAGAACAGGATGGATAAGAAAGATTTTAGATGAACTGTAGTGCAGACTAGGACGCAAACAGGGTTGTAAAGTCATAGTGATGATGATTAAAATGGGAGTAGTCTCATATTTCAACCCAAAATGTTTTTTTATACAACCAAAAAAAGGACAAAATTCAGTTTAAATGTTTATTTAATTTAAGTTTAATTAAATTCAGTTTAAATCAATTAGGCATTTTAATTTAACTTAATTAAATTTGATTCTATATTACCTACTCAATTTTATTAATTTTATTATTTTTGTGTTTACTTTTTTAGGTACAATATTTCCATGTTTAACACTACTTTTGATAACTTTATCAAAACCAGAGGAGAAAATTAAAATTATAATAGCTTTTGCGTTGACAGTAAGCTTTGATATGGCTGGAAATCTAAACGGAACTGGAGTAAACGGTGTTGATCTGTCACCCAATCATGCTGGCTTTATCGAGGGTCTGTCAAATCAAATATCACAAATTCTATCATCGTTATCACCACTTCTAGTTGATTTATTTGTATCTAATGAAGTAAGTGAATGATTCATTTTTATTTATAACCTAAAGCGGGGTGTTTGATTATAATTTTATTGTATTGCTCCTATATATTTGAACTTTCCTGCAGTCGTAAATATCGAAGAAAAACCGTAGTGTGTGCTTTGTTTAAAAAATGTAGCAACTGAAAGTATATTCACGACATAGTCTCGGATGAAGTAAACTAAAGGGTCCATACACTGAGCCAAGTCCAAGCGAATCTTTTAGATTCTGTACGTAGGAACGGAAGATATATTGAAAATTAGTTAAAAAATCCATTAAATAGTTAAGGATTCCAAGTTCTAGTAATATTAACCATATATTAGTACGCTACTTGAAAGTAACAGCACTTATACGATCTACGTTCCATTTCGCTATTTCTAATCTTTTCGTTGTACAAAATCGTTTGTCCTCAACTAGTATTGGTCTTTTTCCATGAGATTCGTCTGGAAAATCGTGCGAATTTTGAGTAAATAAATAACTAATAATTTCCCAGTGCAGGCTACCAAACTTGAGATATGTATTCCGGTATTGAGCTGCTATCCCACCATTGAAGAAAATTCAGGTTCCAAAATTCTACCAGAAGAAATACCGGCAGCCGTCAGACAAATGAAGGATAGAAAGGCACCGGGACTCGATGAAATTCCTGCAGAACTACTGAAACTATTAAATACAGAACAAATAAAAATAATAACTGAAATATTTAATGAAATATATATGTCAGGAAGATAACAAGGGAATATAATAGTGACCTCCACAGCTCTAAAACCAGTCCACCTGATACAACTCAACAAAACCTGAAAAAGAAAATAATGAATGCAAACTCTTAAATAGTACCCCCCATAACCGGAGAAGAAATAGAAAAAGCAATTAGAGATATGAAAAGAAATAAGGCTCCGGGAGACAATGAAGGTGATCACAAGTAGACTAAACAACAAATTTGATGCATACCAACCAGTTGAGCAGGCAGAATTTAGAAAGAGGTACAGCACAACCAACCACCTTTACAGTCTTAAAATATTGATAGAAAAGACCAACGAATAAAAGCTTCCAATATGCCTAGCGTTTGTTGACTACGAAAAAGCGTTTGACAGTATAGTATGACAGTTGTATAAACGGGAAATATTAAATCATCTAAGATTCTCCGATGATGTACTCCTGATAGCAACAACTATAGAACAACTACGAATAATGATTTCAGACCTAGAAAATCTCTTGAGAAAGGACTGAAAATGAATCTAAAGAAAACTAAAATAATGACTAACGAGAGGTAAAAAAAAGGTCAAGAGGTTGACCGCAAATGAGATGGAAAGATGACATTGAGCAAAGCGCAGATCCAATGTGGAAAAGACAAACCGAAGACAAAGACAAATGGAGACAAATGGGAGAAACCTATATTCAACCCATGAATAGATTTTGGGCTATAGATAGGTAGAGACATGTCAGGAAAAATACCAATAAAGTGGCTCAAATCGGAGTTGGGTCCATGAGTATAGGACCATGAGCCTAATAAGCCATCTGCTGAAGCTGTTTTTAAAAGTCATCCACAAAAGAATTTACGATAAATGCGAGGAACAAATTACGCCCAATTAGCTTGGATTTGTGAACGCCGTTGGTACGAGGGAAGCTTTATTTAGCGTGCAGATCTTGTTTTAGAAATGTAGAGATGTCGGCTGTGATGTTTTTGTATGCCTGATTGATGACAAGGCTTTCGATAGAATCAGGCATAAACAAATGATGGAAGTGCTGAAGAGGGTAGGGATTAACGGAAGAGATGTAAAAATAATCGCTAAGGTGTATTGGAATCAATCAGCGGTACTCCGAATAGGTGAAAAATATACAGATCAGGTCAAAACATTAGGGGGAGTGAGACAGGGGTGCATAATTTCACCACTGATATTCAATCTATACTCGGAGCACATTTTTGAAGAGGCTCTAAAAGATATTTATAAAGGATCTCAATAAATGGAGTCAAGATCAATGGAGTACAATTCTGTTTTCCAATACCATAGAAGGTCTGCAAAACTAAACAAAATAATGGAAACAAGTAGAACATATGAACTGGATATAAACACCAGTAAATTATCATCACCAAGGAAAACATAACTGAAGCAAATATGTATGTGAATTAAATGATTATTGAACGTGTCTCACAGTACAGCTACTTATGAAGTATATTAATCAATGAGTCATGGCACAATACCCAAGAGATTAAATGTCGCATCGAAAAGGCAAAAAGTGCATTCTTGACTATGAGCTCTGCGTTCAAAAGCCAAGACCTCACCCTAGAAACAAAAATAAGGCTCCTTAAATGTTACGTGTACTCAGTGCTTCTGTACGGTGTAGAAACGTGGACATTGAAGGCGAAAATTCTGTCAAAACTTCAGGCTTTTGACCTATGGTTATACAGAAGGATTTTGAGGATACCATGAACAGACAAAGTCACCAACGAAGATGCGGATTTGGTCAACATCGTGAAGGGCTGTAAGCTGCAGTACTTGGGACATATAATGAGAAATCAAGACAGATACGAGCTATTTCAATGCATTTTACAAGGTGAAATTAAAGGAAAAAGGGCCCCAGGACGAAGGAGAATATCCTGGCTTGGTTACCTGAGAGCATGGTACAGAAAGACCTCAACACATCTATTCCGTATAGCAACCAACAAAGTCATCATAGCCAGAATGATCGCCAACGTTCGGAACGGACAGGTATCCTAAGAAAAAAAATCTTAAGGCACACGGACCTAAATAATTGAGTTTTAACTTTAACCTTCCTTATCCGAAATTTTACAGTTTAAATGGAAAATTACTGGAAATTATTGGGAAGTTATTGGAAAAACCAAAATAAATGTCATTCTCTTTAAAAAAATCGATGTCATATATTATGGAAGTTGTGATGGCAATAGTACATTCAATTGTAGCATAACTAGACGAACATTGTGTAATAAAAGAATTAAATTTATTAAAACCTAAACGTCATTGTAAATTGTATATTGTTAAAATGAAACGCAAAGGCAATAAATGTTGTTAATATTCGTAACATAAACATAAAATAAAAAAAAAATTGCGGTATTAAGTATTTATTTTATATTAATAATTGTGTTTGTTTTCAGGAAAATAATGCCCAGTGGAATATTATATTTTACATTAGCGTCGTTATTCGAATTGTGTCCGCCATAATATTTTTGATATTTGGATCTGGAAAAGTTCAGCCTTGGAATGATGAAATACTTGTTGACGACTAGGACAATTTGTTTTACCATGTTTTTGGCAAAAGTACTTTTGTGATAATTTTAAAATAAATAACACTGTTTTGTAATGTATTATTTATAGTTTATCTGAAACTGAAACCTTAAAATTTGATTAGGTTAAAATTAATAAGCATTCAATAATACCTATAGATATAAAATACAAATAGTCTGAGCGGTGCAATACAACTTCCCAGTATTCATCGAGTACGAAAGAGAAAACAGACTCAATGCAGTCCCTGAATCTCTTGCTAATGGACCAGATTTATCGACCACGTGATCTTCAAGCAATCAAGCAATTTACTTCAACCCAGCCTATGAGAAATGTTCACCACTATGAATTACGATCGGGTGTAACAATTCATTGGAGCTAGGTGTGTTAACTCGTGTATAAACAGGGGTCACCCCACGGTGCTCCAATGCTCTAGACCATCCCTTTCCCCCCTATAGCACTCTGATGCGCTATAGAGGCACAACAATCAGCCAAACGCTCTTCATGTGAAGGTCCTGGTTAATAGAACCCCAACATGGTTTCCTAACCGATTTGCAAAAAACTCAGGACAGCGCATTTTCGCTGTATTTCTGTTATCTTAATGTGGCTTATCCGCGAACTAAAATTGCTTACTTGGGCCTCAAGTCTCCGCTCTGAGTCCCGGCTCAGTATGGCGACTTGGTGCTCAAGGGGTTGGGCCCTACGTGCCCGGGTTTTGGGATTTTTGTTAATTTTTTGTGGTGGCTTTCGCCGGTTTTTGTTAGTGTTTTTAAATTTTTTTGGTGGCCGAAGCCGGTTTTTTGTTGATTTTTCGTAGGCAAAAATCAGAATTGATACATAATCTATATTATAATAATAAAAATATATAAAATATAAAACAATACCACAATACAGATTTTATCCTCGTTTAGGCAACCGGGCCCGCTTTGTGTTTGGCGATATCCTGGGTGTTTTGAGCTACGAACTGTCTTCCTTGTGTTTTGTTTTTTGAATTTTTGGAATTTTTGGAATTTCTTCTCCCTCTGGGGTTTTTTTTTTGGTGTTACTTCATCGTCGTAGGTGTTTTTAATTCTCTCTCTGGGATTTTATTTTAGTCTACTATTTGTTGTTTAGGTCTTTTGTGCTTCCATCTATGGAAAGCGTCATACCTCATTATCTCTTGTAGTAACCACTTGATCTTCCCATTCGTCATTTAGTAGATGGTCATAAACTGGTCATAAACTTCTTAATAAAAACATTTACGAGCAGAAGTCGGATATTGACGAGATCTAATGGTTGATTTTTTTACAATTCAGTATTGTGTTTTGTTTTACCATATTTTTTAGTTTTAGTTTTGATTCCAGTTCATGTTGAAGTTTATTTAGGTTAATTTTTTAATAAAAATTATGTTTTTAAAAATTTTGTATGTATTTTCTGGTTTTTAACCAATTTTTAAAGTTTTTGACAAATATTTACCAATGAACGTACTGTTATAAAAAAAAGGCATTTAAATAGACCTTTGGCATTAGATAATGTAAAAAAACAACAAATTTGTCATCTTGATGGTATTTTTACCGTATTTTTCAAGTTCGTCCTACCGCAAAATGGTTCGTGTCACCTGGCAACACTGCCTAGATAGGCTGCGTGTACTTAAAGGTTAAATATATTCACAATTGTCCATTTTCATTTTTTATAAATTCTAAAACGGTATAAATTACTTCTTGTATTTGTTGATTTTAAACTTGTCATTTTTGCCTATTTTCCATATTTATATCACAACATTACAACACTGCACAAAAATATCCGGAAAATTATATGAAGCTTTTCCCACTTTTTCGAATTTTGTCACTGCACACCCAGAACTGACGTCTCTTCACTATCTTGGTCTCTCCTGAATTATTATTGGTCTTCATCTTGTATATTAAGGATTTTTGATAACTTATAGTCTTTCATTATCTTTTTTAAACAGGGATCTTAGAACTTTATAAATCTCAGCATACCCTAATATCTTAAATTATTAGAAATCAACATCTATAAAAAGGAATAATTAAAGTCCTCAAGAAAAATGAAATGTCTGTTACTGGCTATATACCATAAATTACATTTTTATTTGAAAAAATCTTTTATAAAAGGTATATATTTTCTAAAAATACCCTTTTGGGCTACATCCATCGAGCAAACAGACAAAAGAGGGAATGTAAAGGTAGTGGGAGCAAAAATATTGTTAGACAGGAAGTGCCCTCTTGAGAGGCCACTTTAAACAAGGAAAGACAGTCTCTTTCCTTGTTTAAGAAATCAAATTTAGTTGGATTATGTTATTGCTGATGTTATTGTTTATCCCAACTGTCACATGAAAGATTATTTGTATTTTCTATTTAAGTTTTTTTACAATTGTTTCACATTTTAGACTATTATCGTTATTATTTAATTAAAACTTTATTGTGTACTAGTGTTAAAAAAAGTATTTTAAGTGTATTGTATTAATAATATGTAATATTAATATTATGTAATATAAAATAAATAAATAGATAAATTAGAACCCTACACCACTGTATGATTGTTGTGAAGTGTCAAAAAATTTAAATTTGGCGCATTCGCATTTCCGGATATGTCCGCCATCAGAGGCCACTTTTTTGGTCTCCTTTTCATAACGATTAGATTCCCTCTTTTGTCTTTTTGCTCGATGACTACTCACAGTATGTTTTCGGACTAACAACTCCATCACTAGTGCAGTTACTACGTATACATGAGAGACACCGCTAAGTATGAGGGTAAAAACCCTTTAAATTATATTAAATGTGTTGATTATTACATATTTATTGATAAATTCAAATGATGTTGAGGTTTCTAATAAATTTACTGCATGGCAACGCAAGACTTCCTGGGGCTGTTAATGCTGAGGCAAGGTCTCTCTATGGACCCTAAGTAGTAACTATATATAATAAATAAAAAATATAGAACAAATAAAAAATTATTTAATTTAATAATAATATATAGAATAAATATAAAATAAAAAAATATATTTTCATTTTCGTAATATAAATCATAACCTAAAAACCTCTTTTTGTAAAGAGAGAATATTTTCGAACACATTTTGGAGGATTTCTTGACAGTCTTTTCTGGAAGAAATTAGAGATTTATCAATAGATAATCCTAATTGAAATCGGTCATCGTAGGTTAAAACTGTAAATCCCAAACCTAAAAAATAAAACGTGAGAAGGATTAATATAAATAAAAAACCTTTTATTTATAATAATTCTCATTTCTAATTTACAGAACTACTTAGTCAGTTACAGAATCGTTTATTTCAGAAACCCTTCAACTGATATTTTTATCAAAAATGAGTTTAATACAGATTCTGATTCTTCGAGTATAAACACACATCTTAGTGGATAAATCCGTCAAAAGGCGTGACTCTAAAGCCGGGTACACACATGTAAATTTGGAAAGTAGCTGGCATGCCAGTTGCTGGTATAACCAGTAACTGGCCAGCCTAAAAGACATTTGCTAGTAATTTACATTCCAGTAGCTCGCTTGCCTATACTGGCAAAGCGAAAAAGCAGGGTAGATTTTTACACATGCCAGTGCTATTATAGTAAACAATCGAGTGGTTTTCATAAGTAATTGTTTTGTAGTTAAGAAGGTATTCGGAACGAATTAAACAATCAAATATTGCTGATGATAACGGATATTGTTACAAATTTAATAATGAATCCCAATCGCAACTCAAAAATAAAAAAAATGTGGGATTTGGGTGTGTAAGCATTGTCACGGGATATTTTATTTTTATATCGAGATGATTTAGAATTCCAAAGACTCTCCCATTCTCTATATATAGCAATAAATTTGATACTTTTTTCATCACTCCAACGAAAGATTTTTTAAATTAACGAGTTTAAAAATAAAACGATTAATTTTGATCACCAACATAACAAATCTGACATTTCTCTGCTAGCTACTGGCATGCCCGTAGCGGTAGCGCGCGTTCACACATGCCAGTGACACTTCCCACGCATGCGCATTGCATCTTACAGCAGGCTACTAGCAAGAAAATAACATTCTTTGCGATTAGCTAGCATGCCAGGATCTAGCATGCCAGTTAACGTACACACTTGCCAGTTCGGGGACAGTAGCTTGTGCTTGCTAGGTACTGGTATGCCATTGTACTAGTAACAGTCGTGTGTATCTCCGGCTTTAAGCAGGATGGTTACTCATTTGGTAAGACCGTATTCACACCTCTCCTACATATCTGTAGTACATTTTCCTATAAGCCATTTGAACGCGCTCCTTAGGGGTTGTAGACTTGTCCGCTGGTCCTTCTTCTGCTAAGAAAAAGAGTCCCTATTTATAATTTCCTCCTCCGGCACAGAAGCAAATCCTAGCATGCTAGAAATGCACAATGTAAATATATTTATATCTATATTCCGCATAATAATATATGGTATCAATAGCTTACCACCTGTTCCTCGTTGGGGTGTAAAAAAACCACGTCTGATATTTCGTTTCCTTTCAAAACTGTTACTTTTGATATTCCTGGCACATTACTTAAGGTCATCGTAAAGGTATCCATGTTAAGTAAATGATTTAATACACCACTTGGTATAATAGAACAAACACTGGACAATAATAACGAATTTACCTATAAGAGAAAAACTTAAATTATAACTATTTATAATAAATTTTGAGTTAAATCATAAATATATCAATTTATTCTACCAGTGCTAATAGATTCTTCTAGAGTGCTTCCTGAAGAAGGAACCGGAGATTGTGTTTACGATCAAACGCATAAAATTGCAATATCTGGGACACGTTATGAGAAATCAGCACCGTTACTCCCTGCTACAGTCTATATTGCAAGGTAAAGTCAAAGGTAAGCGAGGACCCGGTAGAAGGAGAATATCATGGCTGCGTAATTTAAGAACATGGTTTAAGAAAACCTCAACGGAGCTGTTTCGAGCCGCAGCGAGCAAGGTTATGATTGCCAATATGATTTCCAACATCCGAAACGGATAGGAACCAGAAGAAGAAGAAGAGTGCTTCCTACATGGAGATTCAACAACTCGAACCTATATTTTTTGGAAATTTATTAATACTTCTTTTATTTCACTATCTAAGAATTTGTTCAGCAGTCCACACAATTTCTGCGCTGTCAAGTTAAGTACTGCCACAGATAGTTCTAATTTATGCTTTGTTTCTGTTGTGGACATTTTTTACTTGCTTTCTTACTTATCTGTGGCTTTGCACAGCACATTCTGTGCTGTCTTGTCATATATATTTTCTTCATTGAGGTCTCTTTTTTCCAATCCCATTTTAATTGTCCGTTTCATTGTAATCTAGGTTTTATTTATCCATTTAGATCCGCATTTGAATCGTAAACTAGGCATTTAATCATGTGATAATCTTTAGAAAAGTTGTTATGCATGAGCCTACGAAGATTTCTAAGTTGTTACGACCAATTTTCGACAGATAACGCCACTGCCATTCTAATGAATTTCATATATAGCCGTGACAGTTCATGCTGATTATGTCATCCTGGTGCAACTCGTGGACTAATACGCACTTTGATGCGCATCGCCTGTCTTAAAACTTAAACTTAATTTTACTATTGGCTGAGAGATCTGAAAATGCCATATAAAGATAAATAAACATATGCGACATTTTCTGCTCTCGGCCTGTCTGGTTTCGGTTCCCAAATAGAGTCTCTGTACCCTGGGATGTCGGGGTTCTGTTCCGGTTCTACTACGTTAAACTCTGTGGCTGGACCTTGTCCACCTGTCACTAATATGTTTTATTTATTTCCTGTGTAAGAAATGTTACTTTACAACTAAAGATGGAAGATACGCAGAGGGTTCTTCGAAGAGACTGGTCAAAGACCCTCTGTAAGGCACTGTGGGATTGTATAAGTGGCCATACGTTAACAAGCCCTTACATCCCATATGGTGATAATTTGAATTGAAATAAAAACAACGATCAAATAATGATGTTTTGAGTTATGGATGATATAAGAATTTATTTAAATTGTGAAATTCAAGTCTGGCTCACATTGAACAGACAATATTGTGCGTATTTGTATATTTGAGAGCGTTTTTCGAATAGTTTTGTGGATTTCATTGTGAGTGCCGATTTTTTTACTTTAAATTTTCCACAGTAAATTGGTGATCATCGTCAATATTAACATTTCCATCCGTATGTGAACAGCTGGTTGAATTGGATTGAATGCTTTGTGAGATTCGGATTGCTGAATGATATCTAATAAACTCAAATACATGTTCACATCGTTTTCGTACAATTACTTATGCCTCCAAAGCGACAAGCAATTGACCGACCTACACCTTAAGCACGAAAGAAAAGAGCATTACGAGCCTTAGAATCATACGAGTAACGACCATTAAGGCCGAAAAATATTTGAGCACATGCCGCTGAGACCCGTTTGTCTGAATCATTTGAACAACTGAGAAGTGAGGTTTGAAAATGATTAAATACGTACCCAAACTTGTTCGTCTGAGACAACTAAACAACGGAAAAAAAAGGCTCCCAAATGTCCCAAATCAAAACGAAAACTGAACGCTAATTTAAATCTTGGAGCATTTCATTACGACAGTAATAATGATTTTTCATCCAAGTGTCGTCATTGGAAGAATGGATAAAATTTGCATGTATTGTAGCACCCTCAACTTTAAGAAAGAAACACAAGGAATATGCGGCGATAGTGGAAAAAGTAATCTGCCAGAATTACATCCAGGTGGTACAGGCAAGACTTTCCTTCTTTCACTTATTTTGGCAACCATGCGACCACAAAATAATATTGCACTGGCCATTACATCATCTGGAATTGCAGCAATTCTTTTGAGTGGTGGCCGCACATTGCATTCAGCATTGAAACTGTCGTTGAATTTACAAAACACTGAGGCATCAACATGCAACATCAGCAAAAAATCCGGAATGGTAAAAGTACTCCAAACGTAAAAATTATCATATGGGAATGTTCAATGTCTCAAAAGAAAGCATGTGAAGAGTTTGATGCTACACTGCGAGATTTAAGAGAAAATGCACGGATTTTCGATGATTGTCTGGTGATTTTCGAGAAACACTGTTGTCGGTTATATCACTTTCAACACCAATGAGCTTATTGCATGTCTCAAATCATCAGTTTTATGGCACTATTTACAAAAATTGAGTTTAAAAACCAACATAGGTGTAAAATTATAACTGGATGCATCGGTTTGAAATTTTTCAAAACGATATTGAATTTATTGGATATTGAAAATAGGCGAATACAAATTAATTAATTTTCGCAATGTATCAGCTTGCCAGCAAACTTCTGTGAGATCACAGAAAGCATAGACGAAATGGTCAAACATTGCACAGAACTACACAAGTCATTAGTGGATCAGTAGGGTAAACTGTGCAAATACCGGTCAGTGGGTAATGGCGGTCATCCCGACTGTGCGAAATCTATTCAATCTGGCAACCTCCTATAACTGCCAACGTGTCGCTACACTACTCTGTATTCAGATTGCTGACGAGCGTTGAGTTGGCGCA